AACCCATTTTTATAAATCTATACCTTGCCACGTGGCTGGTGGCTTACCGGCGTCTTTACATGCTGCTTGTCCTGGTGGTGGCTGCAGTGTCTCTCTCCCCTTCTTGCTGTTTCCCCAATTCTCCTCTCTCCTTGACCCGCCTATACTTCCTGCCTGGTCACTGGCCATCAGTGTTTTATTTATATAGAGCGATATCCACAGCAACAGAAAATACTTTTTTGTGTGAGGCTAAACCACCCTGACTACACCCCATCTCACGTGATTTCAGGTGCTGAGCAGGGGCAGGCCGGGTTAGCACTGGATGGGAGCCTGCCACTCTGTCCCCAAAACACTGTTCTCCAGTAGCAGTCTCTAGTCTGTAATCTATGTGGCATTCTTTCAGTCCTCTGTCCTTTCTCCCTTGTCCTAATTCATTAGCCTTTCTGTGTTAACTTGCCTTCTTGCACAACTAAGGTTCTAGGACCCGATATTTCAGCTGTTCCTTTGCCAGTGTCTCAGACTTCCTTCTTACGTTGATTCCTGTGACTTCTGCTCATACATCTTTTACTTAAAGTATTGCATAAAGTGTTAGTAACTGCCCTCAACCTCAATGTTCCTGTGGATATGACACCTGCCTCACTGGGTTATGGTAAGGTTAAAATGAGATAAGCATATACACAGTGTTTAGCCTTCCCTTCAACCCATGAGGGAAAAGCTACGAGGAAAGTATTCAAACATGGGGGCAGTTGTGTTTGTACCTGTATTACTGCCTACTGTCAGAATACTCTCCCAGCCAGACAGCTTCATGTAATGTACACTGGGCATCACTAGCCTCTAGGAAGTCCTTAAGATAGTCATCTACACACGAAGCAAATCCATGAATCTTTGAAAGATAGATACTTATGCATTTAAAATGACCGAGATGCATGTTTGAATTGTAGAAATCTCCGAGAAGCCAGGGATAACGCTCTTGCTGAAAAGAACCGAGCAGTGACAGCAGAAAAGGATGCTCTAGAAAAGCATGAGCAGCTCCTTGACAGGTAAGAAGGAAATGGAAATGCTAGAATTCTTCAGTGCTCGTTCCCCTTGCGTTTTCCTCTCAGAAAAATGTGTTTTCAAGCCAGCTATAGTAGAGCATGCCTATAGCTCCAGCACTGCGGCGGGAAGATGGCTGGAAATTGGAAGCCAGCCTGGACTGCCTCTTGTCTCAAAAACCCAGTGTGGAGAGTAGTGTGTGTGTGTGTGTGTGTGTGTGTGTGTGTGTGTGTGTGTGTTGTGCAATATAATGGAAATTTGTATTTTTATGTAATTGTTAACATTTATGGAAACCATGCTCTAGAACAGGTAAGTTACTCCAGAGAGTTCCCTCGACCCTTTGAGTCCATCTTATCTACTGCCTTGACATCTACCACTGTCTCAGCCATGTTCTTAGACAAAAACGGCAACAGAGGCACACATTAGCTACTCTCTGGGTCTAGTTCCCTTGACTCAGCATTGGTGTCCTATCCATTTTGATACTGATCATTACTTATTTATATGTCTGAATCTACCAGTTTGTCGACATGTTTTCCTGTTGATTAAAAATAAAATGGGCCGGGTGTGGTGGCGCACGCCTTTAATCCCAGCACTCGGGAGGCAGAGCCAGGCGGATCTCTGTGAGTTCGAGGCCAGCCTGGGCTACCAAGTGAGCTCCAGGAAAGGCGCAAAGCTACACAGAGAAACCCTGTCTCGAAAAACCAAAAAAAAATAAAATAAAATAAAAAAAATAAAATGGAGTTATTTTCAGTGGCGGCTACCAAAGTCAAGCTGCTATGAACATTCTTAGGCGTGTTGTGTACATGTATGTGTGAGCACATTTTGGGTGTGTGTGTGAGCACATGTTTTGTGTCATGTATGTGTGAGCACATGTTTTGTGTACATGTATGTGTGAGCACATGTTTTGTGTACATGTATGTGTGAGCACATGTTTTCTGTACCTGTATGTGTGAGCACATGTTTTGTGTGCATGTATGTGTGAGCACATGTTTTGTGTACATGTATGTGTGAGCACCAGTTTTGTGTACATGTATGTGTGAGCATATGTTTTGTGTACATGTATGTGTGAGCACATGTTTTGTGTACATGTATGTGTGAGCACATGTTTTGTGTACATGTATGTGTGAGCATATGTTTTGTGTACATGTATATGTGAGCTCATGTTTTGTGTACATGTATGTGTGAGAACCAGTTTTGTGTATATGTGTGTGTGAGCACATGTTTTGTGTATATGTATGTGTGAGCACATGTTTTGTGTATATGTATGTGTGAGCACATGTTTTGGGTATATGTATGTGTGAGCACCAGTTTTGTGTACATGTATATGTGTACACCAGTTTTGTGTACACATATGTGTGAGCACATGTGTTTCTCTTCGGTAGACATCTAGGAGTGGTATTGCCAGTCATTAAGGTATAAATAACATTAGTGTAAAAAATTCTGTGAAACTCACTCCAGAGTGGTTATACCATTGTACACTCCCGAATCATTTGTCAAAATCTCTATCTTCTAGAGTGGTTTTTGTAGGGAAGGCAGGAGAGAATGCTTTGTCTTCAGTTACTGCACAGATATTTTTATTAGGCCAGTGAAAAGGAAATCTATTGTAAGCATGAAGTTAAAACATCATCACTTCACTGAGATACTATCAATTTTAAATAATTTGGCTACATGTAAAGTAAGGAACATTTTTTTTTCTTTCTTCAACTTTTTATTTTGAAATAATTTTAGACAGAAGAGTTGATGAAATAGTACAGAAAGTTTACATATGCCTTTCACAAAGCAATAAGCCTTTGAAATTAAGCTCAATGTTTCTTTTATTGATAAATGAAGTGATGGGGGAATTTCTTTTTGTACATTTGTATTGCTGTGAATATGTGTTGCTCTGATTGGCTGATAAATAAAGCTGTTTGACCTAAGGCAAGGCATCTTAGAGGCAGGCAGGAAATTCAAAGAGAGAGACAGGAAGAAGGCAGGGAGAGACGCCAGCGAGCCGCCCAAGGAGCAACATGTAATGGGACTCAGGTAAAGCCACAGAACATGTGGTGATACATAGATTAATAGTTATGGGCTGATTTAAGATATAAGAGCTAGCTAGCAAAAGGCTTGAGCCATGGCCATACAGTTTTAATTAATATAAGCCTCTGTGTGTTTACTTGGGTCTGAGTGGCTTCAGAACCAGGTGGGACACAGAAAAACTTTCTGCCACAATGATGCCCTACAGATTAATTTGTAATTATTTTTTTAAAAGTTCAGGTCTTACTGTTACCCAGACTGGCCTTAAATTCTTAGCCCTAAATGATCCTCCTGCCTCAGCCTCCCCAGTAGCTGCGACTACGGGGATCCACCACCCTGCCTGGCTTCTAATTGTAATTTAAGCAATATGAGCAACCAAAATTTGGGCCATGGATATAGTTTAGTGGACCACCATTGCAGAGCTTTTGAAAGACCCTAAGTTGGATCTACAGGCCTAGAAAACCATACAAACAAACAAAACCTCACACTGAAAAATTGATATAAAGCAGAGAAGAATAATAGAAATTGAACTACAGAATATGAATCTAGTAGATGTTTTGATTTACTGATTATTGATAAGCAGAGTGAATTTAATAGGAATACATATAAGAACATGGGCTTGTGTCCAGAAAATCCAAGTTAGACTTGACTTCTAGGTTTAGATGACATATGAAAATAGCTGGAGAGAATAGTGTCAGATGGAGGGTGTGTTCTGTGATGATCTACCCTTCAGAATCCTGAGCTTGACACCAGGAAACCTTCAAGAGAAAAATGACCCAAACTGAGAAAAATTCAAAGATACCTTTTAGTGGTAAATTAAAACTGTCTACAGATATTTAAACGGTTCATGTGTGAAAACTGGTTTTTATACCTGAAAGAATCTGAAGCAGCAACATGGAGATTTCTGGATAAATGTCATTAATTAAAAGTTAAAAAAAAAAAGGAGAAGAAACATTTTCCAATGGGGCTTTTCGAGGTGCTGTACTTGACCAGATGCTTCTCTCCCAATAAGATACTGAGACAAGCTGGCAGGGCTCCGGGCAGAATGTGTGTGTCCTGATCAAGGCTTTAGATGGGTGTCTTAAGGAATGTGAAGTCCCCATCTGAAAAATCCTAAATGTACTATTTTTTATTAAGTACTTTATGTAATATTCATACATGAAGTCCTTTTTTTAATCCTTACGTTATCTGTGACAGTTGCTTATAAGAATGATACACTGAAGCCAGGCGATGGTGGCGCACGCCTTTAACCCCAGCACTGGGGAGGCAGAGCCAGGCGGAGCTCTGTGAGTTCGAGGCCAGCCTGGTCTACAGAGTGAGATCCAGGACAGGCAACTAAACTACACAGAGAAACCCTGTCTCGAAAAACCAAAAAAAAGAAAATGATATACTGGTTAAGTTACCACATAAAAGGAATGATGAATTCACTCATTTGACCATATTATTTTGAGGATGTTCACATTCACTTTTCTTTCTTTTTTGTTTCTTCTAAGAAAACATAAAAGTTAGGACTATGACTTGAAAAGATACTGCCATCTATGTCCACATCACCATGAATGCTGGCATTTAAGTGGGAATGAAGCAAGTGCTTGAGTTTGTGTTCAGTGTGAAGCCTTGGACTTCATCCTAGTACAGCAATAGTATATATATATATATGTCTACTTAATTCAGTGAAAGCTTTCAGTGTAGATTCCCAGATGCTTGACCTAATGTACTTTGGCATACTCTTTATTTCTTACTTTGTAATGCTGGGGCATTGAACCCAGGACCTTGTGTATGCCACATGGACACTTCACCCATAAGGCATATTCCAGGCATAGTTTGGGAATGTTATTTTAGTATGTGTAGTAAAACATGAAGGTTATTTTAGTATGTGCAGTAAAACACAAAGGTAAACCATTTTTTTCATTCTTTGGATATTGGATTTTAATGCCTAGATATGTAATTCTGGCTTCCTTTTTATCAAAATGAGAATAAATAATGGTTTTTGATCTTTACAATGAGTGTGGCTTTGCTGAATCCAGCATGCAACATGTTCCCATCATGTATAATTAGTATCCTTTCTTTTTATATGAGAAGGTTTCATCAAATGCCTCAATTTATGATTAAACAACCCATGTCATTATATTAAAAAAAAAAAAAGCATAAGGAAGCAGTGTGCCTTTTCCAGCCATGAATGAAAAAGGCTTTTTACTTGAAGACTTTAATTTCCTGCAAAGAAAAGGACTTTTCTTAGGTATATAAAAGACCTATGTATGTCCCAATTTCTAGCACAATAAAGTTTCTAAAATTAAGTATCAAGTACACAGCACTTGAGAACCTGGCCTGTTGCTTTGAATCTCTGTAGACTCCAAGGGTTCCACCCACCAACAAGAAACTTTAAAAGTCAGTCAGTGGAGCACTAGAAAAGAGGGAAACTCTCTACAGAGCCTGGATTTGAAGCTACAATATAAGTATGCAGTTTAAAATTAATTTACATTGTAAATATTTTCAGCTATAGTTTATCTTGTTTTAAAAATATGTTCTTGTGCGGCCTTGATATGAGGGTTTGTGCCCATGTGTGATATGCCGTGTGTGGTTGCTATCCCTGGGAGGCCTGCCCTTTTCTCAAGGGAGAGGAGGAGGAGTGGATGGGGGGGGGACGGGACTGTGGTCAGCATGTAATGTATGAGAGAAGAATAGATAAAAAGGAAGAAAAGCCGGGCAGTGGTCATGCACACCTTTAATCCCAGCACTCGGGAGGCAGAGACAAGCGGATTTCTGGGAGTTTGATGTCAGCCTGGTCTACAGAGTGAGTTCTAGGACAGCCAGGCTACACAGAGAAACCCTGTCTCAAAAGAAACAAAGGGGAAAAAACATTTCCTGGCTGGACATGATGGCATACTCCTGTAATCCTAGCACTTTCAAAGTAGAGACAGGATGAAGAAGAGTCAAGGCTATCCTCAGCTATATCGAAAGTTTGAGGCCCACATGAGGGACAAAAGATACTGTC